AAAGCAGAATTTCAAGGTGAGGACAACCGCAAAGGCCCACTTGAACAGCACGATTTGAAGGACGCTTACTTCCTCCTCGGATTCTTTTGCTCTCCGCCAACAGGCGGCTGGCGGGGAGGGCCTGGGGGGCAGGAATTGACAACAGCTTTGCACTTAAGAGCTGAGGGTAGGACCAGGCCCCGTACCCAACAGAAATGGATGGAAGGCAGAATGACTACAAAGGACATAACTGTTCAGGGAGATTTGCCACACCCAGGACTGCATCTTTTCCAACAAAGCAAACTCCTTCTCTGCCATCTGTCTCCTGCTACAAAGAAATAATAATAATAAAACCATTGCTTAATGAGTAAACTAAGCAGAGGATAATTCCTTGGGAGATCATGTTGGTGCTGTTCTCCAAAGGATGCCATCCTTCCACTGAGGCACAGAATATAGGGGATACTGCGTGACCGTGCACCAACGGGGCTGCCATATGTCAGTATTTAAAGCCCCATCAAAGAAACGTCCAGCTTTTCAGCTGTAACCCAAATATAAATTTTCCTTACCCTGTCAATTAGCAGATTACAAAACTTCTCTAGCAGGAAGCCCATCCTGCCAGCAAAGCCATAGTGTTTGGAAAGGGTCCAGGTGAGACAGATGGTGTGGAAAAGGGGTGCAACGAGACGTTCCCTATCGGCAAAGTCAACTGTTCTTCCATGCAGGGGCCAAGTCACAAGGTGAAGTGCATCTCCCACACAGCTGGAGAAACATACAGATGTCCAGACAACACCAAGGGCAGCATGACAAGCACAACAACGGGCTGGCTTAATGGAAGCAGTCAGAGGAGGAAAACGGGCAAACCATGAAATAGCTGGAAACCTTGTTCTTTGGCACCTAAAAAGGGCCCCCACCCTAAGCCCATGAGCATAAGAAGCAGAATCGTGTCCCCTCCAAGTATGACATCACTGTTTAAATTGGGACGATAGAGCATCCCTGCTCTCTTTGGAATGCTGACTGTATCACACACAGGCAGATGACGTAAGCGTGCGGGCAGACAAGGGCCATTTCCTGGGTGATTATTGAGCTTCACCTGTACTTACCCTGGTCCATCTGTTAAACACATTTGCTTACCAACCACTACCTGGCCGCACAGAAAAGCTGGATTCAGGAGTTGATGGTGGTTATTGTAAAAATAATAGCCTAGTGAATTTTGAAAATAGGTTTTCAAATGGATACATTAACTGATGGCCTCAAATTTTCTTACAATTGAAATTCTCTATCCTTACAGTCAAAAAAGCCAAACTCACTTCATGAACTTAAACATTTTAGGTCAACAGAAATGTCTTTCTATCTCTTGGAATTATTAATGACCTGCCACTTGTAAGCACCAACAATGCACCAGGCATTTTGCATATTGTAACTCATTCAATCCTTTAAGCAACCCCATGAGATGGAATTAATTACCTCACTTTAAAGGTGACAAATTAAAGACTTAAGACAGAGACATGGCTATACTCTGTCAGTACCTCACGGCACTGCTATTTCAATCCCAGGGGCCTGGCTTAAAAGCCTGTTTTCTCTCCAGGCCATCACAATGTCTCCAAGGAACAAGGAAGCTACTTGTTGCAAGTTCTTGCTTAAACTTTGTCTGCAAACAGGAAAGTGCCCCCCTAGTGATGTGCAGGTCTGTTAGCCTAATGCAAGAGAAAGGATTGTTTTTATGTCATAATTTTAAGTGCCAGGTGTTGGCTTAGTGAAACATGATTTTGCACCATGAAGAATTTGTGCTCAAGTATGAGTTGGAATCTGGATGAGTAATTCTTCCTGAAGGTGTTCCTGCAAGACCAGGAACCTGGTTCCACCGGGACATGTCTCCTGCCCAGTGGGAAATGCAAACCCAAAAGGCATTCATGGCACTGTTGATTCTCATGAGGTCCTTCCCTATCAAATCCTGATTCTCTCCCTCTGCTTTGTCCTGATTACTCACAGGGGTTTGGGGAGTAGTGAGTGGGGTGGGTGGGGGTCTCTATTGGAATAGCACAGAGGACACGCTGAAGCCATTTATCCTGACAACACTGGGTTAAATTTTTTTTCTGTTGCTTTAGCAAAAGTAGACTCTGCCTTCATACAGAGGCATGTTTTCGTCAACATGCTCTTGATCGAACAAAACAGGAGAAAACTCCATGTCATGCTCTGCCTACAATAACCTCTGATTACAAAGAATACAGACCTGGCCTTGCGTTTGCTGCGTGGAGACTTCAGAACCAAGGCAAGCTTGGCTGCCGAGCCTGCAGTGGACTTTGTAACCAGCACCAGTCTTTTCACTTGAGAACAACCTACAAGAAAGATGACCCCGTGGTTAAAACAACAATGCACTAGGTCATCAGTTTAAACTTTTCAACTTGGGCCTCTGCCCTATATCCACACCCTATGATGAGGGAGGAAAAAAAAAAAAAGCATAAAAGCCTCATAGAAGTAACAATTGCCAATTTTAATGTTGGCAACTTAAAACTGACAATTATGCTGTTAATTGATAGTTATTTCAATGAGTTGTCATCCATGTAGATTGTTCAGATTAGCAATGTTGTTTTGCCTTGTGATTAAACCACTGGGTAGCTGCATAAAAACTGTTGTATTCTATTATAGATCCATGCTAACATCGCAGAAGAGAAAGAGCCCAGCCCCTTTAAAGATACAGATGAATTTTTTCAAGCCGGGAGTTACCCACTCTTGTTAGAATACAATTTTTTAGCAGAATGCTTTATTAATGGATTTCAATGTTTAATTAAAGACATCAATTAGAGGAGAGGTAAAGTCTTAATTAGACAGAAGGCAGGCGCTCAAGGAGGGAGTTCCAGTCGGTGGCCAGGTCAGCAAGCACACCAAGGGAAACATCACTTCAGTCCCAAAGGAGACTAACAGAGAGCCTGGGCTTACCCTTGGGACTCTTGGATGCCTCAACCACTCAGCTGGGTCCTTGTGGCACTGGCAACCACAGCACGTCAGACCCCAAAAGGAATTTGGACCAAATGAATTCACAGCCCAAGACATAATCCAAAGCTTCTGCGACTTTGAAATATTGCAAAAACAGATTGAATCTCCAAGTTTTTCTACTGGATAAAGGCTTTAAGCTACCGTCATCAGTAATGGAGAAAGGTGACCTTGGACATTTGCTGACATCAACTCAGGAAGGTCCAACTGGCCTCATCCCATGGGACAGCCCTGGCCACCAGGTGGCAGTTGCCCAATCCTTGGGCACAGTGACCTGCTTGAGCTACACAGAGTCAAGAGGGCATGTCATTGAGTTTCAGCATGAAGCATTGACGTTACCAAACATCTTTTTATTTCCTCTTAAATTAGGTTAAATGACAAGTCTGACAATAATTCTCATCAAATTGGAGCACTGTCCCTTTTCATATCAACTGTACCTAAATTTTTTAATTCACTTTTTTGGTAGCTGCATTTATGCAGTACAAGGGTGCTTCAAAAATTGATGGAAAAAGTGAATTTAAAGATGAGTTTATTTTGTTACAAAGCTACTAGAAATCTATGCAGTTTTTCAATCATATTTTTCCATGAACTTTTTGAAAACACCCTTGTACCCTCACTTCTCCTCTCCTGCCTCTGACACCCCATAATATTGTTACATCTCAATTAGCAAGGCCACACCACTGTTCCATTCAATGGTGCAGGGGACATCTGTGGTTTTTTTTTAAAGATTTAAAATTTTTAAAATTTAATATTTGAAAGGCAGAGTTACAGAGAGATAGGAGAGAGATCTTCTCTCCACGATTCACTCCCCAAATGGGCGCAATGGCCAGAGCTGAGCCAGACCAAAGCCAAGAGCCAGAAGCTTCTTCCAGGTCTCCCACTGAATGCAGGGGCCCAAGTACTTGAGCCATCCTCTGCTGCTTTCCCAGATGCATTAGTAAGGAGCTGGGTTGGAAGTAGAGCAGCCAGGATTCGAACTGTTATCCATACGGGATGCTGGTGTGGCAGACAGCGGCTTTACCAGCTCCTCCACAGCTGTTTCACCTGCACAGAATTGTTCACTTTTCAGCTGACAGGGCTCTAATTTTGCAACAGTCTCCAACTTGCAGGCTCAGGGGTGGGCATGTGTCTTGGGCCCAACCACTGATTAGTCCACGCCCCCAGCCACAGTCAATGCATGAGAGACGAGCACAGAGCCATGTCAGTCCAAGAGCCCACTTTAGGACTTCATCTGGGACTCATGGGAAATAGAAATCAAACTCTCTTCCTTCCAGGGTTTTAGATGGGCAGAATATAAGCTGGGAGGTGCCAGGTGCTCTGGCCTCTGTGGTTAATTCGGGAGTGAACCAGCGGATGGAAGAGCCCCCTCACCCCCCGCCTCTTCTCTGTCTGTGTAACTCTGACTCAAATAAATAAATAAATCTTTTTAAAAAAATAAAAACATCTACAGAGATTGAAAGGAGAAACGCTGTTAAGTATCGATGTGTGTGCACGCATGGGGTAGTAGGCATGGCTGCTGAGAATCAATGCGTGCCGAGAAGGCTGGGCTGCGATGACATCCAGCTGCAAGAAGCACACCTAATACGTGCCCAATTTGGGGTTCTAAATGCCATTCTCCAATTGAAAAAAAAAAGGGGGGGCTCCTCGGAGAAGGGAATGACTCCTGAGCCAGGGTGTTATCTCCCGGTGCCAGGAAGGATGGAAGGGCTGCCAGGGCTGGAGACGAATCTGTACATGAAGGGAACCCCCATAGCCGAAACTGAAACCACTTGGGCAACAAAATATGGGGTTATAATCCATAGAATACAATCAATGATGATATCAGTAACTTGTATTTATGTAACAGGTCATTGAATAGATAAATCGATGGAAAAATGGATAGCTCTTGTTACAGAAAACTTTAAACTAAAAAGCTATAGCTGAAACAAGAAAATATAAAATTACTATTAGAGCAGCAGGTTAAAGCCTGGGCCTGCAGCACCAGCATTCCATATGGGTGCTGAGTCCATATGGGTTCAAATACTGGAAGCTCCTCTTCCAATCCAGCTCCCTGCTAATGCGCCTGGGAAAGCAGTGAAGGACAGCACAAGTCCTTGGGCCCCTGCATCTAAGTGGGAGGCCTGGAAGAAGCTCCTGGCTCCTGGCTTCAGATTGGCTCAGCCATGGCCGTTGTGGCCTTTTGGGGAGTGAACCACAGGATGGAAGATTTCTCTCCCACTCTCTACTCTCTCTGTAACTCTTTCAAATAAGTAAAATAAATCTTTTTTAAAAATCACACGGTAATGATTCTTGCCAGTAACAGCCTCTTGTAAAACCAGTGGGCAAGCTGGCACCGCAGCTCACTAGGCTAATCCTCCGCCTTGCGGCGCTGGCACACTGGGTTCTAGTCCCGGTCGGGGCACCGGATTCTGTCCCAGTTGTCCCTCTTCCAGGCCAGCTCTCTGCTGTGGCCCGGGAGTGCAGTGGAGGATGGCCCAAGTCCTTGGGCCCTGCACCCCATGGGAGACCAGGAGAAGTACCTGGCTCCTGCCATTGGATCAGCACGGTGCGCCGCCCACAGCGCGCCGGCCGCGGCGGCCATTGGAGGGTGAACCAACGGCAACGGAAGACCTTTCTCTCTGTCTCTCTCACTGTCCACTCTGCCTGTCAAAAAAAAAAAAAAAAAAAAAACCAGTGGGCAAAGTTTGAGGATAAATTAAGATATTTGCATGATCTCAAAGTATTTCCCCCAAGACAGCTACCAATTACAAAGGGGATCATTTCTCCCCCCTGGAGAAATCCTGCAGCTAGCACTCACGATTCCTGTGAGCAGCAGCGTGATCCACTGGCACTGTGCATCCCTGACTTGCTAGGGAAGAACATATAATTATGCAAACGCGTACCTCACTCTAACCTTGAGCAAACAAGCCCAGATGGATGGATATTCTACAAAATAACTGTCCAGCTCTCTCTCAAAGTGTCAAAGGCATGAACTACAAAGATGGAGGCAATGTCACAGAATGGAGGAGACAGAGGAGACCCTCGGCGGACACTGGAACAGACTGTGCTGGGAAAACTGGTAGGGAAATTCACATCAAGTCATTGGCTTTGTCGCATCGTACCAGTCTTCATTCCTTACCTTTGGCCTCTGTGTGACTGTCATGCAAGATGCTAATATTAAGGAAAGCTGGGTAAAGGGTACACAGGAATTTTCTGAAATGTTTTCTAACTTCTCTATTAGTTTAAAATTACTTCAAAATGCTTTGGTTTTTTAATGTAGAATGTGAGAGTGCGTGGGTCACAGAAGACGACGGGGCAGTGGAAGAGCAGGAAAAGGAGACTAAGGCCTGATGACATCATATCATCTCCTGGAACAAGGTGATGATGGAAGCTAATTTACTCCAGGCATTTTTGTTTTTTTCCTGTACAAGTAAATTTACATACCTGACAATGTGCTAAATTTATTTTTGTAAAGATTTATTTATTTAATTATTTGAAAGGCAGAGTTACAGGGAGAGAGGGAGAGGGAGAAAGAGAGTGAGAGGGACAGAGAGACTGAAAGAGAGATCTTCTATCCACTGGTTCAGGCTCCAAATGCCTGCAACAGCTGGGGATGAGCCAGGCCAAAGCCAGGAGCCAGGAACTCCATCCAGGCCCCCTATGTGGCTGGCAGCGGCCCAGGTACTTGGATCATCTGTTGCCTCCTAGGCATATTAGCAGGGAGCTGGGTCAGAAGCAAAGGTGGGACATGATCCTAGGCACTCTGATACAGGATGTGGGTGTCCCAAGCATCAGCTTAATTCAATGGGCCGTGACACCCACCCAATGTACTAAATTTAAATAAGTACAGTAATTCACAGGCTATTGCAAGGAAAGCATAGTTAAGGGTCAAATTCTTCAAAATGTTAGAATACTGTCAGTCTGTATTTAAAAAAAAAAACCTTAAGATATTTGCAAATATGCCTCTCCAACTTGTCTAATATTTTTGAATGCCACTTTGCTTATCTACTGAATTTACCTTTTCCTTAAGGAGATTACCTACCTAAACAGTGTGCCTGAAAAGTACAAGAAAACTGAGCCCTAAAATATCTTTCCATTGGCCATGCCATTCAACATGAAATTTTGAGTCCATATTTTGAGTTCAGGCCTTGAAAGTCTCTATTAAAATGGAAATGCTGAGGTCAGCGCTGTGGCGCAGTAGGTTAATCCTCCGCCTGCGGCACCATCTCTTATAGGCACCAGTTCTAGTCCCAGCTGCTCCTCTTCTGATCCAGCTCTCTGCTATGGCCTGGGAAAGCAGCAGAAGATGGCCCAAATGCTTGGGCCCTGCACCTGCATGGGAGACCTGGAAGAAGCTCTTGGCTCCTGGCTTCAGATCGGCCCAGCTCCAGCCGTTGTAGCCAATTGGGTAGTGAACAAACAGATGGAAGACATTCTTCTCTGTCTCTCCCTCTCACTGTCTGTAACTCTACCTATCAAATAAATAAATAAAATCTTTTAAAATTAAAAAAATAAATAAAATGTAAATGCTATGGCCCAATTTGTAAATATTCATTCAGAGTCTATTGATATATTACCAATAATTATCAACTTAGCATCAATTTATTAACCAGATGAATTTCTGCCTTGTGGTAGGGTCGTGGAGGAATAGGACCTAGGATAAGACATGTTTAATGAAGGGTTAGGAGCAAGGAAGGGTTTGAAGTCTAAGAGGAGAGACTGGACAGTGTGCTGATTTGGGGGGTGGTGGTGTCTCATTCCAAAGTACCAGGCAGAGAGACAAGTGAAGCAGAGAGAACAGGAGTGGGGAAAGAAGAATGGCCCAGCGCCCAGGGCAGACCTGCCAAAGATTCCTGTGCACAGCTGCCATTTCCAGTGACAATTCAGCCTTGTTGAAGAAGCACATCAGACCTGGGCCACCAGGTAGTTATGCAGGTTTGCTGATGGACTCGGGTGCAGGAAGACCCTAGAGTCCAGCCCAAGCTCCCTTTGCCAAACCCCGAGTCCTGGACAGGGTCGCACTGGCCCAGGCAATGCCCTTCTCTAACAGATGCAAGAGCTCTGCAGGGGCAGCCCCACGCCTAAACAACTTTGAAGCCTTTTTCACCTATGGAGGCACACGGTGTGCTGACACTTTTTGCTTGCACAACCCTCTTCCACTTTGAAGGAACGTGACCGGCACCTCATTGCTTTCCACCTCAAGCGCGTTCCGTCACCCTCCTGACACTGTGGTGTGCTTTGGAGGTGGCAGCAGGCAGAGGATGGGAGGCTGGAGCTCGGGAGCGAGCTTCATGGTGGTCATCGCATTCTCTCCACTGGCAGAGCTGCTGGAGCAAACAACGCTGCTGAAAACCAGGAGCGAGCCGATCGGAGGGAAGAACAATGGAGGAGAGAATCCTATTAGAAGCCCACTCCATGAAAAATCAAAACCAAAACATCCTTGTTCTCTCCCTTTTCTGCTAAGTTATTTACTGCAAAAACAAAGAGAGGGAGAAGGAGAGAGACTAGAGTCAGAGTTAGGAAAACCATCTGCAAGATGTCCTTACTGCTTTCAGGACAGCATTCATTTGAAAATTTCTAACATATTTTGAGCAAGACAAGGTAGTAAGTTAGTACATTTTTTTTTCTCTTCCGGCAGTGCAGACATATTAGTTCCTACCTACTATTTCACTAAAACAGATCCTCAGAGAAAATCCCATCACACCCAGGAGAAAATTAACCTCGAAGATAATGAGCAAATGCTCATTTTGGTTTCGCCCAAAGTCTCTTCTGCAGCTTCTTCTCTGGCTAGCAGCTAAAGCAGAGGCTCATTCTGGGCCAGGGGTCACCTGGTATCTCCCAGGATTGTCACCACCTCCACGGAACACCACACACCCCTAGTATTCCCAGATAAGGGGTCAAAGTCCACATACCAAGTAAGCTCTGGCAATGCATGCACCTCCTCTGCATATCTCCAACCAGCGACAGAATGCAGGTGCTAAACACACAGAAGTCAGACATTTAGGGGGCTTTTAAGTGAGGTACCACCTGCCCCTCAACTCTTTCTCCTAACATCTGCCGTTGCCCAGACCCGTTGCCCCGAGTTAAAGTGCCCTGTCTGCATGGCCCACTGACAGCACGTTACTTTGGGAGGACCGCGCGTTAGCACCCCTTTCCCCAGTCATGCCCTGGACAGGCACCGCCACCCAGACGGGCCCTCTGCCAGGCCCTGAGGAAGCAGGGCTGCACAAAACAGACACGAGGCATTTCCTGGCTAATTTGGCATTCTTCTCTGTGCAGCTCTTCTTCATCTCCATCTTCTGTCACTCCTCCAGGAAGCCGGCCACTGGCCCCAACTCTGGTTTAAAAGACCCCCTTTCAGTTCCCCTGTGGCATTCTGCACACACCCCTGACACCAAGCTCTAAAAGGGAACTGCTTGTTCCCAGGCTTCCGGAGAGGTGAAGTTCAGCTTACACATCCTCACACTTCCTATCGTTTTTGTTTCAGCTGTAAAGGACTACATAAAACAACTCTGCAAACATCATCGTTAAGCACTACTCAACGCAGGGGAGAATTGACATGCATTGCACCAAATCTGGAAAGAACTCGGCTATCTCACTGCTAATGGTAAATGCGGCTGTGGCTCCTGAATCTGGTCTGAATCCCTAAAATCCATAGAAACCGTTAGAACTTGCTCATGAAACACCGCCTACAAGCCTTTGCGTAAGGAGCTTCAGAAGGTTATGAAACAGCAGATAATGGAGAACGCTGATTAACTCTGGCAAGGCCTGGATGGGCCCTGCTCTTATTATCTCAATTAGGTGTATCCCGGTCACGCCCCTGTCAACTGTCCACCCTGCAGAGCAAGGACTTAGCGCTCTTCCTCTCACCAACCCACACGGCCCAGATTTGATCTTCAAGCCTCACAGTGTAGCTTTCCCACGTCATCCTGCGTGTGCCTGGGCCACTAGAGTGATTTCAGTCATCAGAGCCTATCAGTGAGAACTAAAGCTGTTAAAGGCCCAAGCTGCATGATCAAAATTTGAAATTGAAACCAGACCTAGAAATCACAGAGAAAGATATAAAACCAACGTGAAATGAGAGGAGAAAAATTATCAACAGGCTAAGAAAACCCTTTCAAGTCTAGTTTCTCTCATAAAATTTGGAATCTTGGGGAAAATGCCAGTATCTTAAATTCAGAAGCCCTTTTTTACTTTCTAGTCCTTGCTTTCTTTAAAAAAAAAAAAAAAAAAAGACTCAGCCTGTGTTTTCAGGTTTCCCAGAAAAAGACCAGCAGCCATTCTGTGTTATCATGGTGTTTATGATTACCTGGAGCTTTGGACAAAAGTAGAGAGGCAGGGAGGGCATTTGGTGCAGCAGTTGGAATGCTGCTTGGGACACCTGCATCTCGTTTCAGAGCAACTGAGTTGCAGTCCCAGTTCCATTCCAATTCCAGTTTCCTGCTATTGCACACCCCAGGAGGCAGCAGGTGATGGCTGAAGTACATGGGTCCCTGCCACTCACATGAGAGATTGGGTTCCAGGCTCCTGTCTTTGGCCTGGCCCATCCCTGGTGGTTACAGGCAACTGGGGGAGTAAACCAGTGGATAGGAGATATATATAAAAAATTACATATATTTGAGAGATATATATTTGAGATTATATATATATCAAATAAAATGACAGTAAATAATGTTTTAAAAATACAGAAGCCATTTCCCAATATGCTGAAATATTTGCTAAGTAATGACAAATACCACATGCATGTCTCCAAGTGGAGCTAATTTTGACAAGATAAAATAAGATTACTGAGTATCTACGCTACATAATGACCCATCTAATTTCACACGATAATTCCAAGGAAGCGAGGGAAATCCACTCATCACTAACTTTCAGAAACATACTAAGAGGCATCGTGACGAGTACAAAGTTGGTAGGTTAAACTACTGTAACTGCCTTCTTTGGATTTTCCTTCCTAATCTTCTATTCACTATTTACTCTGTTGATGGTACCATTTAATGCCTAAGAACTGCTTTAATAATCTTGAAACAGGAAAAATAATTGGCATATATCTGCAACAAAAGGGGTATAGACATTGATGCTATAATTTCATATTCTAATAAAGAATATAATTCAATGTCCTAAAAGACAGCTTGCTTAAAAACATGTATAAGATGATTTCAGGACGTCTTCATGGACACAGCAATTTGGTAGTTGGAAAATAATTTAGGCAGCAAGCAATGTGGTCTGCTTCCCCAAACCACAGAGAAAACGTAATTAAAAGGGGCAATGGAAAATATTGTGGGTTTCACTGAAAAAAAAAATTGGGTAGGGACTTTTCCTGACTATAATCTTCTCTTGTTACAAATGTCAGCATCAAAAAGCATTGATGCAAAGAACCTGAAATGATGGCTGCACTGCTCAGACCATTCCTTTTAACCACCTGGTGTGCACATAAATAGTGCGAAGACAGAGACAAATCTCTAGATTTACAAGGCTGGTAAATTTAGATACTGGGTCTCCTTGGACGAAACCCTGTGCTAATCTCCTTTTAAGTCTTTTAGCTGAATTAACATGCAAGAAACAGAAGGAAAATGAAGACACTTGGGGTTAACATAAAGAGAGAAGGAACAGTATTTAAACAAAATACACTCCTCGCCTTTCTTTCCTACCATTGGGTTGCTGTAAACACACCAGGAGAGAGAAACGAAACAGTTCTGAGGGTATCACCATGCCCTCCATAACCATTTATTCTATGTGGAAGTTCTCCCTTCAAAAAGTTCAAATTGTACTTGAGACTGGCCAGTTAACACAAGAATATAATCCCAAGGTCTTGAGGTCAGCATAACTTGGGTATACTTAATTATGTGACCACCAGGGAGAGACTCCACACTAAAGATACCAGCTAGTTTCCTTTTCTTTTTTTCAGATCAGGCTCCACTAGGGGAGGTAGCTGAGGTGAAGAGGAAGCATACGTGGCCCGAGAGATCCTGCTTGCCCACACACTCGCCAGGAGCGGGAGTCGAGGGTGGGGAGGAGGGAGGGTTCCTGCAGCCTCCTACCTCACCTGAGACCTGGCCGGTGAGCTCATGCCGCAGGTGTGCACAGCAGTGCTTTGCTTTGAGCACAGGTGGATTTTTGCTATCAACTCCTGTTTCTCCCTGGGATGGGAATTGAGAATAGACGCACTCTCCATCCTGTCAGTGGGCACCCTGCTCCACAAGGCCAGCAGCTTTTCCCAGTGGACGTTTCACTGGCTGGGCTGCCTGCCTCCTGGCACAGCCAAGGGGCAATAGAAACAGTACAGGCTTCCAGAAGGACCAGACTGCAGGGCCCACTTCACCACCAGCCCAGCAGAAGTAGCACCTAGGTTCACAGCATATCAGGGGCCTGGGAAATTAGTTGAATTTCCTTTAAAATCAGGAGGAAAATGAGTTCGGCAATTACACTCCTAGGTATGGACCCAAAGGAATTGGAAACAGGCATTCAAACAAATCCTCGCATACACATGTTCACAGTAGCACTATGCACAAAAGCAAAAAGGCATAAACTCAACATGTCATCATCTTATGCACGGACAAACAAAATGTAGCATACCCATTGCTCAGCCATAAAAATGGAGATGGATTCTTTCTACACACAGTATCATGGATGAATCTCCAAAACTTTATATTAACAAAAGCCAAGGGGAGGGTTGCGGGTGGGAGGGACGTTATGGGGGGGGGGAGCCATTGTAATCTATAAGCTGTACTTTGGAAATTTATATTCATTAAATAAAAGTTAAAAAAAGGGAAAAAAAATAAAAACATGAAAAAAAAAAAAAGCCAGACAAGGGCCCACGGTGCAGGTATCCAATATGACCGCTGGTTCAAGTCCTGGCTGCTCCTCTTCTGATCCGGTTCTCTGCTATGGCCTGGGAAAGCAGAAGATGGCCCAAGTGTTTGGGCTCCTGCACCTACATGGGAAACCCATAAGAAGCTCATGGCTCCTTGGCTTCAGATTGGCCCAGCTCTGGCCACTGAGGCCCATTTGGGGAGTGAACCAGTGGATGGAAGACCTCTCTCTGTCTTTCTCTCTCTCCATCTGTAACTCTGCTTTTTAAATAAACAAAGCTCTTAAAAAATTGTTTACTGATTTATTTGAAAAGAAGAGTGACAGAGAAACTTTCCATCTGCTGATTCACTCCCCAGAAGGCTACAACAGCCAGAGCTGAGCCAGGCTCAAGCCAGGAACCAGGAACTCTATCCAGGTCTCCCACGTGGGTGGCAGGGGCCCAAGCACTTGGGCCATCCTCTGCTGCTTTCCCAGGCACATTAGCAGGGAGCTGGATTGGAAGCAGAGCAACTGGGACACCAACCAGTATGGGATGCTGACAGTGCAAGCAGAGGCTTAGCCTGATGTGCCACAACACCAACTCCTAGATTTTCAAAGACAAAAAGAGAGGTGAATTTTCTACGAACCTTTTGAAGGTTCTCATATTACATGATTCTATCTACATGCAACGTATATAATAGGTGAATGTAGAGGACAGCAGATGAGTGTTCTCAGGGGCTGGGAGTGCCTGCTTAATGGGCATAGGGTTTTCCTTGGGGGTAATGCTTTGGAACAAGGTTCAGATTGTGGTCGTACAACGCTAGGAATTTGTTAACCGCCACTGGACTGTTGTACCACTGACTGCTTTGAAACAGTCAAGGGTACAACATGGTAACTACAGTTAATAACAACGTATTCACACTTGAAAACTGCTGAGAAAATAATTTTAAATGTTCTCATCACAAAAAAATATGTAAGGAAATTCATGGTAACTGCCTTGATTTAGACATTCCACAAGACATATATATTTCTCAACGACATGTTGTACTTCATAAATGTATGCAATTCTTGTCAAAAATGTAACTTAATTTTTTATGTTGAGGGAACTTTATCTAAATTTTTAAAAATGAATCCAACCTAGATTATGATAGCACTTTCAAAGTTCATGGAAATTGCACATGATCTTTTAATTCTACTTTCTGTGAACTTTTTGTGAGAAGATACAATTTATGAAAGGATTCTTACAGCTAAGAGTGCCCAGAGCCCACCAGTCACAATGCAGCCCTGCTCAGCTGCACGGAGCACGGAGGGGAGCCATGGGGAAGAAGCTCCTAGGAGTACGGTGAAGTCAGGCCATGGCAAAAACCTGGGATGCTGTGTGAAGTGTGAGTTCTATGCAGACTGTTGATTTAAAAAAAAAATTTAACTTCTTTTTATTTGTTTGAAAAGCAGAGACAAGGAAAGGGATCCATTCGCCAGTTTACTCCCCAAATGCCCACAACAGCTGGGGCTGGGCCAGGTCGAAGACAGAAGCCCAAAAATCAACGTAGGTCTCAGTGCCGACACTATGGCATAGCAGGTAAAGCAGCCACCTGCAGTCCATATGGGCACCGGTTAAGGTCCTGGCTGCTCCACTTCCGACCCAGCTCTATGCTATGATCTGGGATAGCAGTAGAGGATGGCCCAAGTCCTTGGGCCCCTGCACCCTCGTGGGAAGACCCAGAGGAAGCTCCTGGCTTCTCGCTTTGGATCGGCACAGCTCTGGCCATTGCGGCCAACTGGGGGAGTGAACCAGCGGAAGGAAGACCTCTCTCTCTCTCTCTCTGCCTCTCCTATCTATGTAACTGTCTTTCAAATAAATAAACTAAATCTTTAAAAAACAATGTAGGTCTCCCATGTGGGTGACAAGGACCCAAATACACTGAGGTCTAATGACAAGCAGGGAGCTAGTCACCTTTTCAAGAGCATTTGCAGTGGAACCACGGGGCAAAAGCCAGACGGGCAAAAATCGACAGCAGTTGGAGAAGCGGAAGTGGAGTATGTGTGGGCACCTCCTTCAAGCAGCGGACCATGAAGGCAAGCAGTAGGTGACAGTGAAAAGCCAAACTCATGCTTCACTCACCCCAGTTGCCTGTCCATGGGGGCCACGGGGAAACTATGGCAGGAGAAACTTGGCCAAAAACAAAGAATTGGTGTTGCCAATTCTTAGAGATCAAGGAGATCGAGTCTGCAGCTTGCTCGCCCTCAGCTCTCAGTGTGGAACAAAGGAGTGATCGCCCTGGGTCGGAATCCAAAAGGCCAGCTTCCCACAATGCTGTCTACCCCAGCACCAAGAAAGAACCGCCTGTGAACCCGATTGTTACAGGGGCACACAGAGCACCAGCCGTACTGGCTAAGCCCCACGCCCAGTGCCACTCCAGCATATAACTACCGTGCCGTCCTCCAAACCCCTGCTCCCTATGACACATCAGCTTAAATTCTGGGATGTGACAATTATCTCAACAACTGGCCGTTTATTCTTTGCCAGTTGAGAAGGGAAGTGGCCCAGCCAAGCCCAGGTAACACAGGGCCCTTAGGTTGGAGTGGTCTTTACCTCCACTGTTCCTTTGGCTGTTCATCAGCAGTCAAATGGCTTCCAGGCCAGAACACCATTTTTTTCCCCTCTTCAAGCATGGTTAGGAAGCAGGTTTTGTGCATATGTTGCTGTAGTTTCCAATTTCCATTGTAGGGTTGACTCACTGTCTCCAATACCGGAGAAGAACTGAGGAGTCTTTGGCCAAAAAGCCCAACCCCATAAACAACTTTCCTTCTTTGGTTTCCTCCTGCCCTGAACTTGGCCTGTCAAGTAAGCCTTATGCTTAACACTGGAGCCTGAGCAAGGAAGGCCCGATGTTCTTTCTTTGACTGTCATAAAAGGTTTATTAGGTGGTCCTCATGAACACAACCGCACCAAGCAGCCAGAGGGCCTGCACTCGGGCTCTCACGTGCTGGAGGGTGCAATGTTCCAGATGTCACATCTGTGGACATTTAGTGGGGCTATTCTGTAGCTCTTAGAGGATCATGTTTAAGGAGGAAAAAAGTTAGTCCTTCCCTAAGTTTCAAACAAAGGGAGGATGCTATTATAACACAAAAAAGGTAGGAAACTAGAGAAACCAGGTAGAATTTTCTCAAGTTTAGAAAGGTAATTGTCACAATGTCACCAGCCAAATCAGACCACAATAATCAAGCCAGAAATTATAACCATTTCATCCCAACTTTCCACACACAGCACACCCCCCAAAGTCTGTCAAACGAATATATGTCATCAATGTTAAGAATTCTGGGAAGCTAGCTGTGGCACCTGTGATAACCATACGGGATCTGCAGTCAGCAGCATTGGAGATACCACCCAGTTTACTGACTAAGCATCTTGCAGTGCCTCTTCACCTAAGCTGGAGCTGCGACCGGAGATCATGCCTGCTCCACTCACCTCATAACGGTTTAAGGATCAAATAAGGTTACACGTAGGGGAGAAAAATAAACAGCAGGACAGAGACCATACCACTTCTATTTAACATTAAGCTGCTGATCCAAAAATATCTTAAAAATAGAGGTAGAGGAGAAATGAGGAGACAAAACTTCTTACTCGAAGACACATATGACTGCCTCCATAAAAATCTTACAGAATCTACAGGTGAACTACTAGAACTTACAAATGAACTATGTAAGGTTGTTAGACAAAATCAATTTACAGGGGTTGGAGTTGTGGCATAGTGAGTAAAGCTGCCGCCTGCAACACCAGCATCCCATAAGGGTGCCAGTTGGTGCCCCAGCAGCTCCACTTCCAATCTGGCTCCCTGCTAATGGCCTGGGAAAGGCAGTGAAGGTTGACCCAAGTGCTTGGGCCCTTGTCACCCACATGGGAGACCCTGATGAAGGTGCTCCTGGCTGCAGTCTGGCTCTGCCCTGGCCATTGCGGCCACTTGGGGAGTAGACCAGCAGATGGAAGAACTCTCTACTGTAACTCTTCCTTTCAAATAAACAAATTTTTAAAAATTTTCAAAATAAGTTTATAAAAATCGGCAGCATTTATTTATACCATGATGAAATGATGAACAACATTTAACTTTAAAAAGCTTATTCTCTGTAACAATAACAAAAGTTAGTTACATTAAAGACCTGAATAAACAGAGAGGTACAGAATGTCCATAGTAGGAAAATGTTGTTCTTCCTCAAATGATGTTTAAGTTCAATGTGATCCCAATAAAAATCTTAACATGATATGGTACTTGGTAATTTAATCCTAAGTCACAGAAAGAGGCAGGGTCCAAATCCATTCTGAAGGGCAGGAAGGGGTGGGCAGATCCAGACTTTAAATCCATGCAGTGAGGGCATGGTCTCAGCACAGGGACAGACGGGGAGTCACAGAACAGATCCACACACAAATGGAAACTTGGAAATGACAGAGGGAGCATCACAGTCAGGGAGGAAAGGATGGGCCATTCACCAAACGATGCTTGGACGACTCATTACCCATGTGGAAAACATTAGACTTCAATGCCATAAACAAAATTTTCAAAGTAGATTAAGAGGCTAAATTGAAAGGCAAAACCATAAAATTTTTTGAGGAAAATATTTTTATGACATCAGGTAGAGAATTTCTTCAGAAAGACCAGAAAACCACAACTCATAGACAATAAAACTGCAAAACAAGACACACAAAATAAGACCCCATAAACAAAGTTAAAAGGTAAGGCTCAGACTGGGAAAAGACTATCAGCTAACACATCTCTAAAACGTGTATGCAGACTCTATAAAGAGTATTTAAAAAGCAGGGCAAAAATGCAAATCCCAAAAAGTCAAATGGGCAAGGGATATAAATAGCTAATTCGCTCAAAAGAAACATAGGGTCCAAATTTATGAAACTATGCTCAACTTCACCAAAATAGAGAAATCAGAATGAAAACCATGAGCTCTCACTTCATATCCACCAATCCATCATGTGCAAGAGCCTATAGTCCTCCACCCTAGGAAGCAATGAACAGCATGGGAAACAGCTTGCTGGGCTTAAGCCTTCTTTACAATATTCAACCCTGCTGTGTGAGGAGACCCCTACGGGGAGACACTCTGTAAGCGATATACCTGATCAGGGGTTGAGTGAGAATTAAAAGGTATAGAACCACTGAGAACACAGTTTCTGCAGTTCGGGAATGTTTAGTTATGCCTACTAGCATCAATGTTTTTATACATACATTGAAATTTTTTATTCTTTTTTCTCAATTACACTTGTTTTTCCAGGATCATTTTGCCAAGTTTAAAAACAGAACTATTTTCATCAGAAAAAAAAAAGGACTGGGGAGGATACAGGGAAACATGAACTCTTATGACCCGCTGGCAGGAGTGTAACTGGATATGTGCTCTCTGGAGATCAATTTGGCAGTATCTCACAAAACTGAAGGTAAGGATACCCCACTGGTCAGTGTCCAAGTCCTAGACACAAACCTCCACAAGGCACGAGGGAACATGTCAAGCATTTCACTACAGCACTGTTGATGACAGTCAAAAATTTAAAGTGAAAATATCCATCGACAAGACAACAGGTAAACTGTGATATGTTCATTCAATGGATTACAGCTCTTAAAATGAACAGGGAGGGCCGGCGCCGTGGCTCAATAGGCTAATCCTCCACCTTGCGGCGCCGGCACACCGGGTTCTAGTCCCGGTCGGGGCGCCGGATTCTGTCCCGGTTGCCCCTCTTCCAGGCCAGCTCTCTGCTATGGCCAGGGAGTGCAGTGGAGGATGGCCCAGGTGCTTGGGCCCTGCACCCCATGGGAGACCAGGAAAAGCACCTGGATCCTGGCTCCTGCCATCGGATCAGCGCGGTGCGCCGGCTGCAGCGGCGGCCATTGGAGGGTGAACCAACGGCAAAAGGAAGACCTTTCTCTCTCTGTCTCTCTCTCTCACTGTCCACTCTGCCTGTAAAAAAAAAAAAAAAAAAAAAAAAAATGAACAGGGAAACATGTGGTTGTGTGGCTACATTTTAAAACCATGAGTGACAAAACAAGTCCCAGAAGGTCATGGACAGGATGACACCATTTATATAAAGCTTCAAAAACATCTGCTGAAGCAAACAGAACCACTCATTGTAGCACGGCGACCAACATCCAGCTGAAAGCAACAGGTACCTCTAACAGGTACCAGGAGAGACAGGGAATGAGACAGGGTGACATGGGAGACCAACTGTACTTGTTTCTTTTCAAAAGATACAAGCAAATTTCAGTAAAACCAGTTAATAGTGTTATGGCTGGAGGATGGTCACACTGCTTTCTATGTTTTTGTTAGAAATATTCCATAACGGGGCCAGCGCCGTGGCTCACTTGGCTAATCCTCTGCCTGTGGCACTGGCATCCCATATGGGCACCAGGTTCTAGTCCTGGTTGCTCCTCTTCTAGTCCAGCTCTCTGCTGTGGCCCAGGAAGGCAGTGGAGGATGGCCCAAGTGTTTGGGCCCTGCACCCGCGTGGGAGACCAGGAGGAAGCACCTGGCTCCTGGCTTCGGATTGGTGCAGCTCTGGCCATAGCGGCCATTTGGGGAGGTGAACCAACGGTAGGAAGACCTTTCTCTCTGCCTAACTCTTATCTGTCAAATAAAATTATATATATATATATATATATATATATATTCCATAACAAGGAAAAAGGCACAATACAAACACCACCAGTTTTCCTAAACTCTGCTGCCAGACACTGGGTGGATCACAGCGAATGAACTCACTGACACCCAATGAGGACAACTACTTCCTCGTGTGGGAAGAATATTGATTTCTACAAGGCTTATATTTGCTAATACTTAGTATGTGCCAGGCACGGTAGGAAATGATTTACATGCATTTAATCTGCATAATCATCCCCATAAAGATAATGCTATGATCATTCCTGCTTTTATAGAGAACTGTAAGAACGTATAGTTTTACTGAGAACTTACAGAGGCTCAAAGTAGAAAGGCAAAGAGCCCAAGGCCACTTAGCTGGTAAGCAGCCAGGGCACCAGCCCAAGTGTGTTTAAGTCCAAAACCTATGCATTTAAACACTGTTACACTTGGAAGTTTCACCTTTACTAAATGAGTCACAGTGAAAATGTCACCGTATCAAGTTAAAATGGGAAAGATGCAATTAACTCTAAGTGTTTAAAACATCAGGCTGTGAGAAAGAATAAGTAACTGGGTATACATAAAGCTATTCTGTAGTCAACACAGGCACAGTCCTCTGGCAGGAGGGTGTCCTGACAAAGGACTTCCAAGCCTTTGGCCTGAGGACTCTTAACAGTCCTTCTAGGCTCACGCTTTCTGATTCATCAAAGCTCCACAGGAACTGCACCCTCATAAATCTGACTCATCTGTCAAGCCTGAATGTTCACATTTTCTACAGGACAAGTCACTGTTTTAAACCATTGTGTCTGAGACAATGTCAGGTGTTTCTGTTGGTATTTAGTAGTAACAGCCTCCTGAAGTTAAAAAATGAAGTGCGGGAGCGTCTAAGGTTTTAAGGATATCTTATGGAAACCCCAGGAGCTAGAAATGCAGACAGGCATGAAACACTGGAACGAAAACCATAAAGTTCTCAGAAATCAAGGTAGCCAATTTTTTTCCCCTTCTGGGGTTGAATGGCTTCTTTGCTTCTCTGTCTCACATGCATGTTCCAAATGTGACATCTCAAGGTATTAGTTTTTCAAGTTCTCAGAAAAATATGACTCAACTTTGAGCAAATATCCACTCCTTTTCCAACAATCCAAACAGCCTCTCCCCAAAGGTGGCAGGAAACACTACTCAGAAAGCAACATAAATCATGCAGATATCCTGAAAAGTATCTACTCCAATCCTCCCTGTATTCTTCCTGTTGTCTAGATACTGAAGCCTTAGACATTAGTTTGAAGAAATAAGCTGCATTTCTCTAACGGCCTTTTACAACCCTTAAAATCACTAAAAGCTTAGTTTTATCTTTCAATCAAAATGAATCTAAAGGTTCTTCAGCTGGTTCTTAAGAAATATTAAAGTAGAACTCTACAGGGTAATTTTTAAAAATTTATATGTAAGTCAGAATTAGAGAGAACGAGACACAGAGAGTATCCCCCATCTGCTGGCTAACTCCCCAAATGGTCCCAACCACTGGGACTGTGCCAGGCCAAAGCCAGGAGCCAGAAGCTTCTTCCAGGTCTTCCACGTGAGTGCAGGGGTCCAAGCACTTGGGTCATCCTCTGCTGCTTTCCCAAGCACATTAGCAGGGAGCTGGATCAGAGTGGAGCAGCTGGACTCAAACCAGCACCCATGTGGGACGGCACCAGCTACTGTGCCACAGAGCCAGCCCCTTACAGCATAACTTGTTCAAGATGTATCTACATCTTTCATTCTTTTCTATCCATTCTGGTAAGGCAGTACCAGAACCACTAACAATTTAGACTCTTACATGTTCTTTTCACATTTGAATTAAAACCAAGATTTATTCTCATTTTCAAGAAAGAAAATCAATGTATGAATCACACACAACAAAAACTCCAAAACACTCATCCCTACACAACAGAAACACGGGGTAGGTTGTTTGGCCAACTGGTTAATACACCAACTAGGACACCCACCTCTATCAGACTGCCTAGGTACAAGTCCCAGCTCTACTCCTGATTCCAGCTTCCTGGTAATATACACTCTTGAGAAAAACAGCAGGTGATGGCTCAAGTACTTGGGTCCCTGCCACCCCCATGGAACCTGGATTGAGTTCTAGCTCCTGGCTTCCACCTGGCCCAGCTGGAGTTGCAGGCATTTGGAAAGTGAACTGCAAAATGAGAGTGCTCTCTCTGCCTCTCAAGTTTAAAAAACAAACAAACAAACCAGAAATTAACAAGATAAGAAGGACGGAAGACAGTACTGAGACCTTGATACAAGCCAGGCACTATGCTAAATGCTTACATTTAATCCTCACACAATTTTATGAGGAGAATCATTATTAGTTATTTTTTAATAGATGATGAAAATTAGGTTTCAATACAATAAAATATTACCAACACATCTAGTAAAGCTTATTAGCAGGATTTAGGTACAAGGGAGAAAGGCTCGAGACACGTCTCCTTTTTAGCACATTTCTAACACCAAAAAACTGTATTTTAAGGACATACAATTTAAAAAAGTAATAAATATGAGCTACCATGCACCTTTTAAAAAACTGCTCTAAGAAATATATATTCCAATCATGAGGAAAATCTTTTAACATAAAATGAAAATGACATGAACTGATTCTCAATTGTTACACATTTTAAAAGTAAATAATTTAAATGGATTAAATTGCTTAAATGCAATTTTATACTATTACTTTGCTCACCATCAATGTCACCTACAATCAGAAATCTTTTCCCCAACCCTAACTCAGCCGCCCATATGCCCATCTTTCTCTTCACCAACATAACACCGTTCTAACCCTGCTGTCTCCATAGCTTTTCCCCATGCCCTCAATTAACCAGTCTTATCCACTCTTCAACTACTTACAAAGATCAGTAAGCAACTCATTGACAAAACCAAAAGCTTTTCCTCTCATTCAAGTTAATCCACTGCATTTGAACTTCAGCATCTTGACAGTTCCTACTGTTTCATGACAACCTCCTTGACTGCTCCTGCTCCTCCACCAGTTTCTTAACACTGTGGCTATTTCCCAAAGCTCAGTACTTGGGTCACATTTTCATAGCACCTGAAAATCCTGGACTTGAGTAAAGGTTAGGAATCACAGAATTTCAACCTCCTCATAAAACGTTTCTACTTCATCCCTCACAAATTCCCCTAATGTCACAGCATCATTGCTAATGCTGTTTCCTGTTCCCCAGACTCTCCCATCCAGAATTCTAGGTCTCCACTGTGCTTTGCATCTGCCACTATTATGTATTTATCACAGCATATTCTATTATATTTAAATCTATCTGAAGAAGGCAAGTTGCAAATCAAGCTATCATTGTGTCTCCAACACTAAATAAAAATTTCATTGAAATATCAAATTCTGTTCCCAAGATATAAGCTAATTAGTTTTGTGTGTCAGGTAAGACTTACTACTCATTCAACAGCAATACTATTGAAACAATTCTTTTACCTTAAAAACAATTTTTACTAACATCATATAATAAAACAAGTCATGTTGTCTACTAATGGGTAGATATGACTACCATCTCAACTTACATATGCTAAAATCAAACCTTATTCCAGTACCCCAGATTACAAACATATTTAATAGGAGTTTTTAATTTACAAGTTTGAGAATCTAAGCAAGCAGTATTAGGATTTAAACTACAGTGAAGATCCTAAAAGGATGCTAACATAAAAGTGATGATCAGAGCCACCCAAGGAGATGTTTCAAGCAAGACCCAAGTTCAGTCTACTCCAGTAAGTTGATTTAGTAGGTCAAGCAGGCCACCAGACATGTTTGCTATTAAACATGATCCCCAGCACTCTGACAAATATTGGTTAAGGGCCAGTGCTCTGGCGCAGCAGCTTAAAGCCCTGGCCTGAAGCACCAGCATCCCATATGGGCACCGGTTCTAGTCCCGGCTGCTCCTCTTCCCATCTAGCTCTCTGCTATGGCCTGGGATAGCAGTAGAAGATGGCCCCAGTCCTTGGG